AGATTGGGATTTCAAACCCAAGAAAATGAAGGGGAAATCCAGTCTCGGTTAATGGAGTTGGAAAAGAGGGAGGAGGCAGAGGAACGACAGGGGAAGCGGGTTTAAGGGTACGGTAGTAGGGATTAGGTAGGTGTGGGAGTATTTAGTTGATGAAGTTGATTTCTTTCAATGTTAGGGGCTTGGGTAGTGTGTTGAAGAGGAAAGAGATAGGAAAATTGGTGAGAGAAGAACGACCAGATTTTCTATTCCTGCAAGAGTCTAAGTTAGAAAGGGTGGATGATGATTTGAGTAGAACAGTGTGGAATTCGAGAGAGTGTGGCTGGGTAATGAAGGAATCGATAGGAGCATCAGGAGGCTTGTTGTGTTTTTGGAACAAAAAGAATTTTGATAAGACGGGAGATCACACAGGTGATGGATATCTGAGAATATCAGGGGAGTGGGGAATTCATAAGGTGAAGTGTAGCCTAGTGAATGTGTATGGCCCAAATGATAGACAGAAACGACTCAAGTTATGGGATGAGCTAAGGAATATGATCACAGAAGAGGGAGGTCGATGGTTGATTGCGGGAGACTTTAATGCTGTAAGATGTCTTGAGGAAAGAAGGGGAAGAACAGGGGAGAGCCTAGATATGAGGGAGTTTGATGCGTTTATTCTATCAGCAGGCTTAATAGATTTCAAAATGGTAAATAGGCGCTTTACATGGTACAAGCCAGATGGTACAGCCATGAGTAGACTGGATAGAGTTTTGGTGAATGCAGAGATGAGCAGTATGGGTGGAGATTGGGTGTAACAGGGCTTGAAACGGAACATCTCAGATCATTGTGCAATTGTGCTGAAATCAAGAACAACTGACTGGGGACCAAAGCCATTCAGAGTTTTGGATGCATGGTTACTCCATCCAGATTTCAAGAAGATAATCGAGGAGAAATGGAAAGCAATGGAGGTAGATGGGTTTGCAGGGTACAAATGCAAACAGAAGTTAAAGGGGTTAAAAGAGTTTTTAAAGGGATGGAACCGAAATGTATTTGGAGACATGGAAGCTCAATATGAACAGGCTCTTAAACAGATTGAGCAGATTGATATGAAGAATGAGGAGCTTGATCTGGAGGAATTTGAAATTCTGCAGAGACAAGAAGGATTTCAGAAAATGTCGGACATAATGAGGAAGAGAGAAGTGATATGGAAACAGAAGTCAAGAAGCAATTGGGTACGCGTGGGAGATGCAAACAAGCGATTCTTTCATAGAGTTGCAAATGGTAGAAAGGCCCAAAATCATATCACAGGCTTAATGTGTGATGGAAGCTGGGTGGAAGAGCCATCATAGGTTAAGAAGGAGGCAATGAATTATTTTAGCAAGCTATTTCAAGAAGACAAGTGGAATAGACCAAAGCCGTATGGGATTAATTTCAAGCAAATTTTTACAGAGGAAAATCAATGGCTTGAGCGACCATTCTCCACCGAAGAAATTAAGAAAGCATTACGAAGTTGTGAAGGCTCAAAAGCTCCGGGTCCAGACGGGTACAACTTTACCTTCCTTAAATTTGCATGGAATAATTTAAAGGAAGATTTCATGAGCTTTTTTTCTGAATTTAATCAGAATGGAAAATTGGTTAATGGGCTGAATTCATCTTTCCTAACTTTAATCCCCAAGAAAATTAATTCTGCGAAATTAAAGGATTATAGACCCATTAGCTTAATTGGATGTGTGTATAAACTATTAGCAAAGGTGTTGGCTAATAGACTTAAATCTGTGCTGCCGGGGATTATTAGTGAAAATCAATCTGCTTTTTTGGGAAGGCGTCAGTTAGTGGATGGGGTTTTGGCGTTGAATGAAGTGGTTGAGGAAGTAAAGAGAAAGAAATAGCAGGCTTTTGTTTTTAAAGCTGATTTTGCAAAGGCATATGACTGTGTGAATTGGTCATTCTTGGAATGGATGATGGAAAGAATGGGTTTCGGAACCAAGTGGAGAAGCTGGATCATGGAATGCTTATCAACTTCTAGAATTTCAATTCTAATTAATGGCAGCCCGACGGAGGAGTTCAAGGTTGAAAAAGGATTACGACAAGGTGATCCGTTATCTCCGTTTTTATTCTTGATGATTGGGGAGGGGTTAAATGGATTGGTGCAAAAAGCAGTGACAGAGGGGCTGTTTCGAGGTGTAGAAATTGGCAGGAAGGGGTTAGAGAGTTCTTTACTCCAATTCGCAGATGACACAATTATTATGGGAAAAGCTGACACAGAGAATGTATTTATGGTTAAAACAATCTTGCGTTGGTTCGAACTAATGTCTGGCCTACGAATTAATTTCAGTAAGAGCAGCATATATGGATACAATGTGCCAGTAAGATGGGTAGAAGGATCAGCCGGCATGCTACGGTGTGGTGTTGGGAAATCTCCTTTCATTTATTTGGGACTGCCCGTGGATGGAAATTCTGGGAGAACGAAGTTATGGGAGCCACTGATAAACAAATTCCAAGCCAAACTCACTGTCTGGAAAGCTGCTTCGCTATCTTTTGGTGGCCGCCTCACTCTGCTCAACTCAGTACTTTCTGCTTTACCTATTTTTTATATGTCACTGTTTTTAATTCCAAATTATGTGCTTGCTGAATTGATTAGTATACAGAGAAACTTTTTATGGGGAGGGGTTGAGTCACAAAATAAGATCTCTTGGGTGAAATGGGAACATATATGCTGTAGTAAAATAAAAGGGGGTTTGGGGGTGTCAGACTTACGTAGGAAAAATTGGGCTCTCTTAGGAAAGTGGTGGTCTAGGTTTGGGGATGGTGTAGAGAGCTTATGGAAACGGATAGTTAAGGAGAAATATTATGGGGGCAAGTGGGAGAAGGTGGACATTACAGCAATTGGGAACCAGAGGATGTCTAAATAATGGAGGGATATTATTAAGATAGGGGGGAGATCTATGAAGCTGAGAAATATGTTGGTGGAAGGGTTTAAGTGGGAAGTAGGGGAAGGGAATCGTGTCAGCTTTTGGAGTGAACCATGGGTAGGGAATAAAACTTTAAAGGTTTTATATCCAAGATTGTATGAATTGTCTACGAACAAGGAGTGTAAGATTAGTGATATGGGGGTATGCGAGGGAGACAAATGGCACTGGGATATGGAATGGAGGAGAGAGAGGATAGGGAGAGAAAAAGATGAAGAGGAGAAATTAAGGGAAGGATTGGAGAGGCTACAATTAAAGAAAAGAGTGGAAGATAGATGGAGGTGGACTCATGATTCGGAGGGCAGATACGGGGTGAAGAAAGCTTACGATTTTTTAGCCCCAACAGAGTGTGTCATAGACGAGCAGTGGAGTAAGTTAATTTGGTGCAAATTAGTACCCTCGAAAGTGTCTTTCTTTGGGTGGAGATTGTGCCTTGATAGACTTCCAACTAAATGGAATCTTAGGAAGCGAGGAGTACCTTTGCAGGAAGAGGAATTAAAATGTGTTTTGTGTAAGGACAAGGTGGAGGAAGTCAACCACTTGTTTAGTATGTGTAAGGAAGTATGGATCTTTTGGGTAGAATTGCTGCAGTGGTGGGGCATGGTGACTGTTATGCCTAATAACGCACTAAGTGTGGCAGACATTTTTGTAAATGATTTGGGTAGGATAATAGGGAAGGAGATGGGTGCTTGTATCTTCCTTGTGGCTGCATGGTATTTATGGTATTGGAGAAACAATGAGGTGTTTAACAATGGAAGGTAAAACCAATTGAATGTGCTCTATCAGTGAGAAAATATAAACAAATGCAGAAATTGTTCCATAAACAGCAGAAAGGAAGGGGTACAGCGTAAAGTTTGGAGAGGTACGTGGCTTTTCTCCTCATTGAGAGCCAAAATTAAGTACAATGGTTCTATGCATGATGAAGTCGCTACCCTGAATATGTATAGGGCTTTTGAGATGCTAATTGCTCTGTAGCCTGTGGTGGATGCTTTTATTTTTGTCATTCTATCATGCTAGCAGATGTTTCTTTTGTGTAATGGGTAGGAGTACCCCTTGTGCTCCATTATTAATAAATTCATTTTGCTGATCAAAAAAAAAAAAAAAAAA